GTCTGTGAACCAACTTGTGTTTGGAAACTGGAAGTGACTTTGATTCTCCATAGTGGTCACTGAAGTCAGGATTTAGGCTACCAAGTCTGGGGTTTCTACTGTTTATAGATCAAGTAGTGTTTTAATAGACTGACCTTTAATTTTGTTCCTTAGAAATACCATGCTCAGTTCGAAACTCCATCTCAAAAAAAAAAAAAAAAAAAAAACCAAAACAAACAAAAACAAAAAACCACATTCAGTTAAGTACTTCTAAAGGTGTCTGCAGGTCTTGTACGTCACAACCTTCTTGATTGTCACTTTCTGTCCATGCTGTGCATTAACATGATTGTTCTTACCTTTTCTCTGTCAAATTTTACCATTTGACCTCTGCCACTCTGGAATCTGATCAGCTTGTTCAGGAGTCTTTCTCAATGATGCCATCTCCCCATGTCATTCCCAACTCACAGAAAACAGTCACCACAGAGTTTTTCAAATACAGATTCCCTTACTAATGTATTTTAAAATGCTTTAATACTGTATCCTCCAGGACCTCATGGATGATGTATAGGATGGTATGTATATATTCAGATTATATATGGTAAATCTACTCCAGCATTTCTGTTTCTTTAAGCATCTGTATTTCTTCTACATTATGCTAGGAAGGTTCAGGCATCTCATCCATATGAAATGTGGACTCTTTTGAGAGTTTTCATTTAGCCAACTAATAAACTATTAAGAGTTTAAGCTAAGAGCTTTCACAAAAGTGGAGGCTAGCATTCTCAGTCATGGGAGAAGGAGCTGTTCACCGACGTATCCTCATTCCATATCTTAGGGCCTCACTCCTTCCAAAAGAAAGGAAACTTAGAAAGTATGTTTATTCAACTTTCACCATAATTCTGCAATCTGCAAAATTAAATTTTGGACCAATTCTTGGCAGAGTTGTACCTATGGTTACAACAAGTAAGAAACTTTTAAAAGGCTATTTTTAAAATTTTGTAGCTATCTTGTCATGACTTGAGCTGAAAGTTAAAAACTTAAAAACTCTGTATCATTTTCTTTTTTAAGTCTCCAAGTCAGAAGCAGCCATCCGCAAGTCCTTGGTGTCATTATTACCATCAAAATAGTCAAATCAAACAGTAATTTGGTTCTCTTAGACACTTGTTTCAATAGGCATATCATCATAATTAGCTACAGGTGATAATGCAGTAATCATTATGCCAATGCATGGAATGCATCACTAGTATCCCGTTTATTATTGACAAGGAGCTAGCAGTGAATTGAAGGTCACGGTCACATAATCAAGCCAATTCTCGAATCCTGTCTTTGAGAGTATGTTTCCTGGGAACTCTTTACTGTATCAGGATCCAATCAGGAAAATGAAACATACTAGATATTTCAGCAGAGGAAATTTAAGGTAGGATTGGTTACATAGGTATAGAAGACTGAAAGAGCAAAAAGAGGTAACATGAATATGATAAATGCCAGAGGAAGCTACCACTGTTAGGTTTAGGGAACAGAGGGGTTTAACAGAACCATGAAGCACAGAGGAGCTTCATGAAGCTGGGGATCAGACCTCTGTGAATGTACACTGTCCAGCTGCTGCTCGTGTTTAAGGGAATATCAAGAAGCTGGTTATAAGAGTGCTGAAAAGAGCTGAAGACTGGAACCCACCTACAGGGTGATGCTGATGGAACTGTATACAAGCAGGAAAAAAGAAGTCTCTCCTCCCTTCGTTACTAATCTCTACTAATCTCCTCTTTAACTACTAATCTCTAGATAGCATCTCATCTTGGTAGAATCTAACAGGAAACCATCTAGCAGAAGAAAATACAGTTTTGCAGAATATTGGCCCCAGCATCCCAGAGTAGACTATATAGAAAGGTGGATTTGAAGTCAAAAAACAGTAAGTCAGTGACTAGCTTTTTCTTAGGTTTTTCTTCAGTTCTGAGAAGTTATGACAAACTTTAGAGATGTGGAATGTCATCGCACAGATTCTGTTCATAGATGTTTAAGAGCTCACTTTAGATTTCAGCTGTGGGATTCTTTCCTGCCTTTGGACATTTTCTTGGTTCCCATGTTTTTTTGTACAAGATTACTTTCTTTGAATTTAACAACTAGGAGAAAGGATAGGTTTTTGTCTTGGATCAGTGATTACTGGATTATCTGAGCTCTGTTGATTGAAAAACTAACTGTTTTTGAACTTTTTGGAATATGATTTACAATGAGAAATACTTGGAGTTGCAAACACATGTACATATACAACTATGTAACAGAATAAAAAGTTTTATGGAACAATAGTTGGTCCTGTTAAGTGACACAATACTGATAATTTCTATTCTAATCTTTAAAAGACTGATCACAACTCACCAAGTCAACGATGTAATCTATAGTTTGATGAACACTGTTCAAAGCAGTAGTATGAAGAAGGGAAATTAAATAAAAAATAAAAATAAATATAACTATTTTTCTGCTTAATTGAAAAACAATTGAACATTGTTTTTTCTTAAATTCAGGTTGAGAAGAAAGATGTTTTAGAGCTGGTCTTGAGTTCTAGTGGTTGTGAAAGATACATACCATACTGATGTTGCAGTTGAAACACTCCTATGGTTCCCTCTCTCCCCACCTCCTTCTCTCAGAGAGGAAAAAAGAGAAGTGGCAATACATGTGATAAATTAAGTCAGAGAAAAGCCAAATTTTAAAATAATTATTCCTCTACTTGTTAGTTTGGCAAATATTTGAGTGCCTCCTATGTATAAAATCTTAAGCTCAGGGCAAAGGATACAGCCATTAAAAACACAAACAAGGCCGGGCGTGGTGACTCACGCCTGTAATCCCAGCACTTTGGGAGGCTGAGGCAGGCAGATCACGGGGTCAGGAGTTTGAGACCAGCCTGGCCAACATCGTGAAACCCTGTCTCTACTAAAAATACAAAAATTAGCTGGGTGTGGTGGTGTGCACCTGTAGTCCCAGCTACTCAGGAGGCTGAGGCAGGAGAATCGCTTGAACCCAGGAGGTGGAGGCTGCAGTGAGCCGAGGTCACCCCACTGCACTCCAGCCTGGGTGACAGTATGAGACTTTGTCTCAAACAAACAAACAAAAAACACAAATAAGAGATTTATTCTTGTGGTGCTTATATTCCAGTGGAGACATAGATGTCAAATCATTAATTATACAACTAACTTTATAATTACAGTTAGTAGTGTGGAATTAGACCTAGTGCCCTGAGTTGAAAAACATTCAATCTGAGATATGAAAGGTTGAATATAATTTGTTAGAAGAAAAATAGAAGTGGATGGGTAATGGAGGAAAGGATATTCTTAGAGGGAATAGCCTGTGTTCCTCTGTGAAATGGGAATGATTAAGGTGAGAGAAGAATTGAAAGACCATGTGCCTATTAGCATAGAGGGCTGGAGATAATGTAGTACAAGAATATGGAAAGCTAGGTAGGATTCAGATCATGCAGGGCCTCATAAGCCACTTTAAGTATGTATCTGAAGAGTAAAGGAGAGTAATTGAAGGGTTGAGAAAGAATTATATGAAGACATTTGTGTCTTTAATTTCACTCTAGGGGCATGATGGAATGGAATTCAGTGTTGTAGGAGTACGTATAAAGGGATTAGTTAGGAGGCAATTGCATTAGTTCATACAAGAGGTAATTGTGGCTTGGACTAGAGTGGCAGCATCAGAGGGTAAAGGTGGATGACTTATGCAAAACATACTTAGGAGATATAATTTAAAGGACTGATTAGATATGTGAGATGAAAGAGAAGAAGGGATCAAGGATAACACCACAGGTTTCTGGATTGAGTTGATATTAGGAGTAATGGAGGAGGGTCAGACTTGAGGAAATACTAATGAATTGAACTGTGGACATACTGAATTGGGGATCTGGGATCTTACTAAGTACCAGATGTTGTGCAAATACAATTATTGTTCCCATTTTACAAATGGGACAGCTATTAAGTGGGCAGAGCCAGGATTTCATGTTATTTTTTAAGAAGGGAGAGATATGAACGTTTTTAAATGTTGTTCAAAAGAATCCAGAAGAGAAAGAGATGTCAAAGATACTGGATATAAAAGGGATAATACCTAGTGTAGAGCTAATGAGGACATTGTTTTAGCCTGGGTACAGTGGCTCATGCCTGTAATCCCAGCACTTTGAGAGTCAGAGGTGAGAGGATCACTTGAGGCTAGGAGTTGAAGACTGGTCTGGGCAACATAAACAAGACTCCATTTCTACAAAAAAATAAAAAATGAGCTGGGGCTTGGTGGCATGCATGTATAGTCCCAGCTACTTGGGAGACTGGGGTGGATTGATTGCTGGAGTCCAGGAGTTTCAGGCTGCAGTGAGCCAAGATTTTGCCATCGCTGTCCAGCCTGGGTAACAGAGTGAGACCCCGTTTCAAACAAACAAACAAAAAATGTTTTCGATTTTGAACAGATTAAAAATATGGTATCTATTCTATTTTATAGGAAGTGAGGAAGAGTGCATATGTGAGCTTGTTTGTGGATTTGATGTTAAGATAAGGGAAATTTCTCTTAATGGCTTTTGTTTTTTTGGCAAAATGGAAAAAGACTGAGATGTGAGATAGGGAGAATCGGGGAGAATTGAGGTTTAAGGACAGTAAAATTTCAAAATAGTCTGTGGAAAGTAGAGTAGATGAGTCAAATAATGATCCAGTGAGTAAATGAGAGTGAGTGAAGAAGACACTGTTCTTAATTTACCGAGTTAAAAATGATGTTTATATTATAACAACACAAGGTAAAAATCTAATTAAATGCTAAATGATATGATACTTCTAATAAACATAGAAAGGCAAAGAGGGGAAGGAGAGTAATGTGGCCTTCAGTCAATGGGAAAGATTTTATGGAGGAAGTAGAACTCAAGTTTGGCCTTGACACACATGTAGGTAAACTTACTTGATAGGAAGAACAACACAAGCCAAGTATGGAGTGGGTCCCTAGTGGTGTTCTGTAATGATTTGGTTGACAATAATCCTTCTTTTATGTCAACATTTTAGTGAATATGGAGGTGAGACCATACCAGGACCTGCATTTAATCCAGCAAGTCATCCAGCTTCAGCTCCTACTTCCTCTTCTTCTTCGGCGTTTCGACCTGTAATGCCATCCAGGCAGATTGTAGAAAGGCAGCCTCGGATGCTGGACTTCAGGGTTGAGTACAGAGACAGAAATGTTGATGTGGTACTTGAAGACAGCTGTACTGTTGGTAAGGTTTTTCCTGCCATAAAGCCTTCACAAATAGATAATTAGGTAAACATAGATTTTATACTTTTTAATTTCATGTTGACTATCAGTGCAAGAAGGGAAAAAAAGCAAGTTGAAACTGGTAACTTTCCAATACTGATTATTGTGCTTTATTTTTAAATACTGTGTTGAGATTGAGGTAAGTTTGAGAATAATGTTTTTTGTTCTATGCAAGTAGAATGGTATATGATGCTGTTTTAGGGCTGATGCAAATCAAACATCTGAGAGCTTCAAAAAAAATACCCTTATCAAGTACATTGCATATCACACTTTACAACTGAGACTCACTCATTTTTCGTAGGATATATCTTGATCCTTTTTGTGCTGCTATAACAATACCCGAGACTGGGTAATTTATAAGGAACAGAAATTTATTTTCTCACATTTCTGGAGGCTAAGAAATCTAAGATCAAGGCTTAGAAGGTTTGGTGTCTGGTGAGGGCTGCTCACTGTTTATAATATAGCACCTTGATGCTGCATCCTTCTAAGTGGGGAACATTGTGTTCTCACATGGCAGAAACCAGAAGGGCAAAAGGGACAGACTCCCTTCATCAAACTCTTTTTATAAGGGCACCTAATCCCATTAACAAGCTCTCATTGCCTAATCATCTTTTAAAGGACCTGCATCTTAATACTACCACATAGACAATACCTGAATTTTGGTGGGGATACATTCAAACCATGACACTATGTTTAATGAGAAACCAAACATGAGACATGTTTCCATCACTTTTCTCTCTGCCAGTTGAAAAAATGCTATTTTTCAAAAGGAAGTGAAAGTATATGCCTGCCATTTCTGGACAGACTTTATGAAGTTACTATAGTTTAGCTATGTTGAACTTATATTTGATTCAGATTACCTGATCCATTTTCATTGTAGAACCACATATTAATTTTCTCTTAATGTGGTTTACCTTAAATCTGAATTCTAGATGTTTCTGGAAATTTCGCTTTATTCCTTTTAGGAGAGATCCTTTTCTAATTTTATTTTATTAATTGAGTCTTGGAAAGCAAGGCTGTTTTAAGAGTGTTCATTCCCAAACACTACTCAGATTATGTTATTACTTTTCTTAAACTATTCAAAATCTTTCTATTGATTTTAGGATATAATTCAAATCTTTAACATGGCCTATAAGTCCCTGTTTGATGAAGCCCCTACCTGCATTTGTAGTTTCATCTATTACCACTCTCCTTCTAGTTCACTGTGCCTAAGCCATAATGGACTTATTTCAGTTTGCCAAATAGGTCTGGGCCTTTGTACTTGTTTCGTCTTCTATGTAGATTATTCTTCTAGATAAACCCCTTCTCCCTGTACCCATTTCCATGCCCCCAAATATTCTCCTGTATGTTGTTTTTTATTTTTAAAAAAATTATGATAGAAAACAATATGTGATTTAGACTGTCAATAAATTTCTGAGTGTACAGCCTAAGATTGTTTACGCACTTTTTCATCTTACAAAGATTGTTTACGCACTTTTTCATCTTACATAACTGAAACTCTATACCTATTGGATAGCAATATTCCATTTTCCCCTCCCTCAAGCTCCTGGCAACTGCCATTCTATCTTCTGGTTCTATAAGTTTTGACTATAAATACCTCATAGAAGTGGAATAATGCAGTATTTGCCTGCTGTGATGGCTTATTTCACTTAGCATAATGTCCTCAATGCTTATATATGTTGTAGTGTATAGCAGGATTTTCTTCTTTTTTAAAACTGAACAATATTGCATTGTGTGTATATACCACATTATTTTTTATTCATTAACTTATCATAAATGGATATTTAGGTTGTTTCTACCTTTTGACTATTGTGAATAATGCTGCAGTGAACATGAGAATGTGATTTTTTTTTTTTTTTTTTGAGACAGGGTCTCATGCTGTCACCCAGGCTGGAGTGCAGTGGCGTGATCACGGCTCACTGTAGCCTCAAACTCTGGGCTCAAGCAGTCACCCTGCCTTGGCCTCCTGAGTAGCAGGACTATAGGTGCGTGCCACCATGGCTGGCTAATTTTTTTTTCTTTGTGGAGAAGGGGTCTTACTTTCTTTCCCAGGCTGGGCTTGAACTCTTGGGCTCAAGTGATCCTCCTGCCTCAGACTCCCAAAGTGTTGGGATTATAGGCATGAGTCACCGTGCCCAGCCATGGGAGTGTGAATATTTCATGGAAATCCTGGTTTCAGTTCTATTGGCAGTATGTTCAAAAGTGGGATTGCTGGATTAGATGGTAGTTTAATTTATAATTTTTTGAAGAACCTCCATACTGTTTCCTGTAGCAGCTACACCATTTTACATTCCAACCCCAACTTCGTTAACACTTATTATTTTCTGTTTTTCTTTTCTTTTATTTCTTTTTTTTTTTTTTATAGTAGCCATCCTAAAAGATGTGAAGTGATAGCTGATTGTGGGTTTGATTTATATTTGTCTGATTAGTAATGTTGAGTATCTTTTCATATACCTGTTGGCCATTTGTGTGTCTTGTTTGGAGAAATGTCTGTTCAAGTCATTTGCCCATTTTTTAAATGGGTTATTTGATATTTTATTGTTGAGGTGTAGAAGTTTTTCTATATTTTGTGCTTTAACCCCTTATTAGATATATGGTTCGCACATATTTCCTCTCATTCTGTGGGTTACCTTTTTACTCTATTGTTTACTTTTCTGTGCAGAAGCTTTTTAATTTGATATAGTCTCACTTGTCTATTTTTTCTTTCATTGCCTCTGCTTTTGGAGTCATTTTCAAAAAACTATTGCCAAGATCAGTGTTATAAAGCATTTCCTCTCTGCTTTCTTCTAGGACTTTTATAGTTTCAAGTCTTTTTTTTTTTTTTTTTTTTTTTTTAAATCACCTTTTGCTTTTTTTGTTTTTTTTTTTTTTTTTTTTTTTTTTTTTTGAGACAGGGTCTTGCTCTGTCACCCAGGCTGGAGGACAGTGGCAGAGTCTTTGCTCGTATAGTTTCAAGTCTTATGTTTAAGTCTTTAATTCACACAATGCAGTGAGATGATGTTTGTGTATGTTATGAGGTTCCAAATTCTTTTGTATGTGGATATCCAGTTTTCCCAGTACCATTTGTTGAAGAAACTATCCTTTTCACATTGTGGGGTCTTGGCACTCTTGTCAAAGATCATTTGACTGTATATTTGTGGGTTTATTTTTGGGATTTCTGTTTTGTTCCATTAGTTGGTGTGTCTGTCTTTATACCACTACCAAACTGATCTAATTACTCTAGCTTTGTAATATGTTTTGGAATTAGGAAGTAGGAGACCTCCAGCTTTGTTCTTCTCACAATTGTGTTTGGAGTTCCTTGTGGTTACTTATGGAATTTAGGATTATTTCCTTATTTCTGCAAAAATACCATTGGCCTTTTGATAGGGATTGCATTGAATCTGCAGATCACTTTGGATAATATGGACATTTTAACAGTGTTAAGTTTTTCAGTCCATGACCATGGGACGCTTTTCCAGTGTCTTCTTTAATTTCTTTCAGCAAGGTTTTGTAGTTTTTAGTGGACAAGTCTTTTTTCTCTGGATAAGTTTATTCATAAGCATTTTATTCTTTTTGAAGCTATTATAAATGGTACTGTTTTCTTAATTTCCTTTTTAGATTGTTCAGTGTTAGTATATAGAAATGCAACGGATATTTATGTGTTGATTTTGCATCTTATAACAAGATTGATGAATTTTGTATTTATTAGTTCTAACAGTTTTGTTTTCTTTGGTAGAATCCTTAGTGTTTTCTACATATAATATGTTGTCTGTAAACAAAGTTATATTTCTTCCTTTCCAATTTGGATGCCTTTTGTTTTTCTTGCCTAATTGTTCTAGCTAGGCTTTCCAGTACTGCGTTGAATAGAAGTGGTGAGAAGTTATCCTAGCTTGTTCCTGATGTTAGAAGAAAACCTTTTAGTTCTTTTTTTTTTTGGAGACGGAGTCTTGCTCTGTCGCTGGGGCTGGAGTGCAGTGGCCAGATCTCAGCTCACTGCAAGCTCCGCCTCCCGAGTTTAGGCCATTCTCCTGCCTCAGCCTCCCGTGTAGCTGGGACTACAGGTGCCCGCCACCTCGCCCAGCTAGTTTTTTGTATTTTTTAGTAGAGACGAGGTTTCACTGTGTTAGCCAGGATGGTCTCAATCTCCTGACCTCGTGATCTGCCCGTCTCGGCCTCCCAAAGTGCTGGGATTACAGGCTTTAGCCACTGCGCCCGGCCTGAAAACCTTTTAGTTCTTAACCCTTGAATATGATGTTAGCTGTGGGACTTTCATATATGACTTTTATTATGTAGAAGTTATTTCCTTTTATTTCTAGTTTGTTCAGTATTATGAAAATATGTTGAATTTTGTCAAAAGCTTTTTGTTTATTGAGATGATTGTTTGACATTTATCCTTCTTGCTTTTAATGTGGTGTATCACATTGATTGATTTTCATTGGTGGTTGTTGTTGTTGTTGTTGTTTGTAAGATGGAGTCTCGCTCTGTCATCCAGGCTAGAGTGCAATGGTGTGATCTTGGCTCACTGCAACCTCCGCCTCCTGGGTTCAAGTGATTCTCATGCCTCAGCCTCCTCAGTAGCTGTGATTACAGGCACGCAGCTGCCACGCCTGGCTAATTTTTGTATTTTTAGTAGAGACGGGATTTCGTCATGTTGGTCAGGCTGTTCTCAAACTCCTGATTTCAAGTGGTCCACCCACCTCAGCCTCCCAGAGTGCTGGGATTACACGTGTGAACCACCGCGCCTGGCCGATTTTTATATGTTGAATAATCCTTTCATCCTAGGGATAAATCTCACTTTGCCCTGGTGTGTGATCCTTTTAATGTGCTGTTGAATTTAATTTCTCTAATAGTTTGTTGAGGATCTTTGCATCTGTATTTATCAGGGATATTGGACTATAGTTTTCTTTTCGTCTGATAGCTTCTTTGGCTTTGGTATTGATGTAATGCTGGCCTCATAAAAGAAATTAGGAAGTATAGCCTCCT